TCAGTGCTACGAGCATCGTACAGTTTTATCTGCTTGGGATTTTGGCGGAAGAGGTTTGTCCAGGACACCATTACTTACAATAAAGACAAACTCTTACCACTTCTGCAAACTATCGATTGCAAAGTCACCAAGTGTGGCATTGAAGATTGACAATCTGGAGTAGTTAAATTTGCGTAATTTAATTTGAGCCTTCTGCTTATATTTTTATATCTTTATCATCGTTTGCTTGGTTATATATTACGTATACAGTACCTATTTTGGTATTTGTTTTCATCCTTGTCATCTTAATAAAGGATTACAAAGTGGATAACATTGTTAGATCCACTTAAACTCTAGCAGAGTTTGTAAGAAATATACAACCACCAGAAGTGGTTATGTTTCGTATATCTCATTATAACTAAATTTTGTTAACCACCAGAAGTGGTATATGGCTATGACCACCAGAAGTGATAATTTAGACTTTCTATGGTTACAATTAAAGATAAGCTAGAGAAATATTCTTTATATTACATGCACGCCTCGATTTGCTCATGAAGTAGTAAATATTTTAAAAGAGGTTGAAGCATCACAATTTGATGTGATTAATGCGCGTTCAGATAATTATGTTCGATTTCCTGAAGGATGAGAATTTTTGATAAATATTAATCTATTCCCTGAAGTGAATGTGATAATATTAATAAAGTCGTAAATATGAACGCGCTCTTGTTGTAAATATATTACAATTCACCTCCAGAAGAGTTAATATGATTGAGAGAATATATACTCAATATTTTCTATTTTAAATTTGCTCCTGAAGAAGTAACACAATTGAAATTTCCTCCTGAAGTAGGAAAATATTTTGAAGCAGTATCTTTATGTGCTTAAACAAAATAATGAGTTATTCAAAGTTATTTTTGAAGCACATTTTCATTCCCTGGAGTGAATGAAGAAATACCACAACTCACCTCCTTAAGAGGTAGAATAATATAGGATATAAATATTATTTTTGTAGCATAAAGATCATTGCCACACGTACTTGTTGTACGTAAAGCATCTTGGATAATTTTATTAAGTATCATTCTAACGAAAAAGCATTCTTGTAGAATGCTTTCTACTACAACCACATTAATATATTATGGTTAGTTATTGAGTTCCCCGAAGGAAATAACAACCTGTGTATCTTTCCTTAAAAGATGCAATGACTATGTGGTTGCCATATTGATATAAAATATTCAGATGTTAATGAAATTTCTCCTTGAGGAGATATTTGTCACAAAGTTAGTGGTAGAAATATTAAAATTCTTAATTTTCGTCATTTATAAATTTAGAATTAACTTTATATTATTCATTTGATTATGATTTTCTCTCATGACACCAGAAGTGTCTGAGCAATATTTGGTAGTACAACAAAAGCTCGTGAAGAGCTAACTATTTGTCTAGAAGACACATGACACACGTAGTGTCTGAATAATATTTGATTGTGGACAATAAATGAAAGGCTCCCGAAGAGCTTATTTGTCATTATTGTGATCAAAACATATGTTATGATAAACCGAAGTTTACTAATACATATGACTATTATACTGAGACTACAAATGATTGAGAGATTGAAAATCTTTATGTTTTCACAATCATATGGGGTAAATATGTATGTGAGAAGATACCTGTCTTACTTTTCAAATTTGTACTACATCATATATCACAATATACCAGAAGTTTACTAATGCAAAAGCAACCACAGTAAATCAGAAATTTACTGATGCAAAAGTTTATGCCATAGTAAACCAGAAGTTTACTTAGAGATAGCGCATGCCACAATAAACTTGAAGTTTTCATTTGTCATTTTTAAATGAGCTATTTGAGAATTCAGATAAGCATATACTGAAGAACTAGAAGATTCTTCAAGAATTCTCTTGTGTTGCTTGTTCTCATAATAATTTGATTATACCAGCTAAAGTTGGGACTAAAATCCCAGAATTCTGGAATATATAAAAGGTGAATATGAGCTCATTCACCTATTATGTGAACTACTTATAGATGCATATATAAGATAGTTTCATGTATGTTTATTGTCAACCTGCAGTTTGACATTTGAAATTGTCTTTCTCAATTAAGAGCATAATTTTCAGATTATGAAATCAAGATAGTTCATCTTGATGATCCTGGTTTATATCCAGACTAGTTTAGCATTGAATACCTCCTATTAATAGCTAAACTATTGCTTATGAGAACAAAGCCTCATGTGTTGGTCTAAGATTTTATAAATTACATACAGCAACACTTGTATGCATCAGACCAACAAAATATGATAAGTCCTCCTTTCACAATTGGTTTAGGATAAAAAACCAAATATTTTTACTATCTAATAACTTTTGATGTGTGGTATATGATTAATTTCTCTACCACAAGCACAAAGATATATTTCCCAAAGAAGATTGAGGACATGAGTTAATTTTTGTAATATTTGGGGGATGGAATAAAACAGCTGAAAAATATACTATATGAATCGAATTATCATTAATATGATCCTCGCTTAGAAGATAATTCAAGTCAAGAAGCATTTGCTGGTCCAAAATTAAATATTATATTTCAGCTGCAAATGCTCCTATTAAAATTAAAGTCCCTGAAGGATAGAGTTTATTGTACGCATGAAGCGTGGTAGACCAATCGGTTCCAAAGGTAACAATCCTTGAAAAGAATAGGAGCAAATGATCAAAATGATCATAATAAGGAGGGAATAAGCTCTGGAAGAGCCCATGACATAACATTTCATGAAACTCCAGAAGAAGTTCGGGTACCTAAAAAATAAAGAAAGTGATGAGATCTCAACAAGTTATGTCGCTTGCGAACTGATACGAAATGATCGTCGACGATATATTTGATACAATATAGTGCACAATATTATAAAAGATTGTGAGGATCAGACCTGTAGTCCAGACACCTGAAGATATCATGCCATTTAAATGTAAGTCATAACCTATATGACTCATTTGATTAATTCTATATAAAGATCCCTGAAGGATTTAAAATACCTGAAGCAAATTCAAAATCTCGGAAAATGTATTCAATCAGATTACAAAGATCTTTGTATGGTTTAAAGTAATTTGGGCGCATGTGGTATAATTGCCTCACTGAATTGATGAATGAAGGTTATATAAATGATGACATTTGTGCATGCGTTTTTTACAAAGAAAATGACATCAAAATTTGTTATACTTGTTAATTATGTTGATGACATAAATCTTGTTGGAACTCCAGAAGAGCTCTAAAAGGCAATTGAATATCTTAAGAAAGAATTTGAGATGAAAGATCTTGGAAAGACAACTTTGTCTTGGTCTGCAAATTCAATATTTAGCAGACGGGATCTTTATCCATCAATCTGCCTATACATAAAGGGTTTTAAAACGCTTTTACATGGACAAAGCGTATCCATTGAGTACACCAATGATTGTTCGATCACTTGAAGTGAATAAGGACCCGTTCTGACCTCCAGAAGAGGATGAGGAACTCCTTGGTCCTGAAACACCCTATCTCAGTGCAATTGGTGCACTTATGTATCTTGTTAATGCTACAAGGCCTGGCATAGCATTTTCTATTAATTTACTAGCAAGATATAACTCTTCTCCTATACGAAGACATTGGAATGGGATTAAGCATATATTGCGATATTTAAAGGGAACTCTTGATATGGGTTTGTTTTATGATAACAAAGGTAGTGCAGATCTTGTTGGTTATGCAGCTGCAAGTTATTTATCGGATCCCCATAAAGCTTGATCTCAAACCGGGTACGTGTTTACATGTGGAGGTACTATCATATCATGGCGCTCCACAAACAAATCTATTGTTGCTACTTCTTCAAATCATGTTGAGATAATAGCTATTCATGAAGCAAGTAGGGAATGCGTATGGTTGAGATCAACGATTCAATTTATTCGAGAAAAATGTGGTTTGAAATGTGATAAATGATCCACAATTTTATACGAAGACAATGCTTCATGCATAGCCCAATGAAAGGGAGGATTTATAAAAGGAGATAGAACGAAACACATTTCACCAAAATTATTCTACACACGTGATCTTCGGAAAAATGGTGACATTGGTGTGTAACAAATCTGTTCAAGTGACAATCCGGCCGATTTATTCACTAAATCTTTGCCAACTTCAACTTTTGAGAAGATGGTATACAAGATTGGAATGCAGAGACTCAAATATTTGAAACAAGGTTTTCATCAGGGGGAGTAAAATACGCGATATACTCTTTTTTCCTTACTAAGATTTTTTTCCACAGGGTTTTGCTTATAAGGTTTTTAATGAGGCAGCTAGAAATGCGTATTACTAAATATGTGTACTATTTTTCCTTCACTAGGATTTTTCCACTGGGTTTTCCTTGTAAGGTTTTAACGAGGCACAATACCTTTTAATGAACATCCAAGAGGGAGTGTTATGAAAATAATTATAATGTGGATGTCCATTTATTACTCCGCTATAGATAATCTTCCTGAAGAAGATTATCCATTAAGTACTCTGTTGAAGTTTATCTACAAGCAGCTGATGCAGGCAGGTTGCAAGCAGCTCAATGAAATAATTTGCAGCAGCTTCTTATTAAACAAGCAGGTTGCAAGAAGTTCATGCAGACCGCTTACAAGCAACTAAAGAAAAGCCTTGCAGTTGCTTCCTGAAAAGCCTCGCAGCTGCTTCCTTTCTTCTATAAATAGATTAGTTGTGAGTTCATTATGAACATAACTTTGAAAGATGAATAAAATATCAATCTCCTTCTATACTTGTCTTCATTTTATTTCTTTTATAGTCTTTATTTTATAACATTGTGCAAGTACTTGGACACTTTTTTTATTAACAAAAGGTTGACTTATTAAGAAGGATTAGAGGTGATATTGGTCAAATTAGAAATAAAAAAACTTTGGGGTCAAATTTAAAATACTAAACAATAAAAATAAAAACCCATCTTCTAATACGCTACAGCACTTTCCAACTTCTCCCTATTTTCTCTATCTTCTCTTTTCAAAACAACACCCGATTTTCCTCCAAACTTTTCTAACTTTTCTCTCAAATTCAATCTCCAAACTCAAGAATACTATAGGGCTTCAAAAACCGGTTCCATTTCGTTCAAATTTGCTTTGAAGTCTGAGATTCCATCATCATGGTAGGGTTTTTTTTTCTTTTTTCTATCATATTGGTAAACCCTAAACTTGTTATTTCAACCCTAAATTGATTTTTGGGGTATTTTTGTATCTTCTTATTGTTGTATAGTTTTTGTGCCTAAATTCTAGAGTTATTGTGTAGTTGATATTTTTTACCGAAAATTTGATATTTTTATGTTTTTTAATTGTAGCCGTTGATGTGGTTGTTCCACATGCACATAAAATTAGTTGTTGTGATATTGAAACAGGGGGATATAACTCTATTTTGGGTTTGTGGAATACTTTTTTGCACAAATGTTTCAAACATGTGAGTTAAGTGTTTGAAACATCTTAAGATATTGTTAAATATTCGTGTTGTTGTTGTATGTTGTGAAGTTATTGTAATATTTATCTGAGTTTGGTTAATGATATTTTGAGCTAAGTGTCTGAAACATCTCATTAAGATGTTTGAAGCTTCATATAAGATGTTTGAAACATCTGTAAGGATGTTTAACAATCCATGAGATGTTTCACCAAAAGATACCTGATTATCATAATGAGATGGTTGAATATTTAGCGATTAAAAAAAATCATTGATAGAGACGTATAGATAAAGAAGTTTGGAGAACTATAATATGAACATTGCTAGCTTGCTTTCAAACTCCATCTAACTAGCTAGAGACTTAAATTACTATATCTTGCTTAGAATTTGTAGATGGCAAAAAATTGATTTTACCTCTTAAGCTCAATCTTGTATGACGATTCAATGCAACACCTTTAGAGATGTTTGAAATATCCGAGCAAGATGTTTCAAACATCTCATTAAGATGTTTCAAACATCTTAAAACATCTTAATGAGATGTTTCACCAAAGAATACTTAAATATTTATAGTTTTATTTTTTTTATGTGTTAGGTATTATTTATTTATTTATTTTATTGATGGTCGTTACTTGTTTGTGTGTGCAGATAAATGGCAAATGGACGTGTGCCAAAGACATGTGGAAGAGGAAGATATAAATCTCATTCCAAAAGATCTAGCAAAAGAATTAAGACATCTCAGGAGGATGAGCTACAAAAATCAATTGTAGCTGAAATGGAAGCCAAACCACTTCAGGTAGTAGAAGGAGTGGATGCTGGAGAAGAAGAAAAAGAAAACGAAAATGAAGAGGAAATTGAGAAAGAAAATAAAGAGGAAACAGAGAATATACTATGAGGGAATGCTAGAGAAGCGGAAACAGAGAAAGAAAAAGAAGAGGAAATAGAAAAGGAAAAAGAAGAGGAAACAAGGAAAGTAAGAGAAGAAAAGATAAATGTTGATGAACAAGAATCAAAAGAGGATACAACAATTGATGAAAGAGAAGAGGAGACAAATATTGACGATGAAGCATCAGTAGCAAATACTGATGAAAAAGCTTCAAGAGAAGAAGTAGATGAAGAAGAAAAAGAGGCAGCGACAGAAAGAAGAAAAAAGAGAAAGAATGATAATGCACATTCTCAATCTGTTGAGGTAAGTTTAATATGTTTCAAACATCTCACTTGATGTTTAAAGTTAAGCTTAATATGTTTCAAACATCTCACAGGATGTTTAAAGTTTCTGTCTGGATGCTTGAAATATTTCTTAGGATGTTTCACTAAACATGACTATAAAAAGATCTTTTTAGTTATTAAATTAATTATTATTTTGCCTTTGATTAATCAACACCTTTAAATCATGTACAGGATGAGATGCCTGAGGATGAGTCTGACAGTTGCGAGGTTGAAGATGAAGAAGGAGGAGGAGAAGAAGAAGAAGAAAAAGAGGCAGCGGCAGAAAGAAGAAAACAAAGAAAGAATGATAATGCACCTTCTCAATCTGTTGAGGAAAGCTTAATATGCTTCAAACATGTCACGACCCATTTTACCCCTCCGAAAGGTGTCATGACGACACCTAGTCTCTACGACTAGGTAAGCCTACTATTTCAGAAACATAAAAGAAAAACATTACAATGAAAGCTAAACAATATGATTTAATATGCAAGGATAGTGCCACTCGGCATATACAATACATTACTCCCAAAACCCGGAATGTCGCTAATCACAAGCTTCTATAAGTCTATATAGCTCTATACAAAATATCTGAAGAAAACAAAAGAAAATCTCTACGCGGGGGAATAGAAGGGGACTCCGAGGTCTGCGGACGCGAGCAGAAGTACCTTGAAGTCTCCTAAATCAGCAAGCGCGCACTAAATCCGAGGTTGATAGCTCGTACCTGGATCTGCACACGAAAAACATGTGTAGGAAAGGGCATGAGTACACCACAATGGTACCCAGTAAGTGCCAAGCCTAACCTCGATCAAGTAGTGACAAGGTCAGGTCAGAGCCCTACCGGTGTAAATATAATGAATTTAAGCAGTAAGAGATATAAGTATATTCTACAGTAAAACAGTTAAGGAAGTTCACAGAATTAACAGTCAAGGGAGCCCTCGGCTCAGAACAAGGAAATACAACAGGGAATCTCTCGAGATACCGTCCCGTAGTCCCGAATTAATTATGAAGTACATGGGGATCTCCCGGAATACGTCCGTAGTCCCAAAATAAATATGCAGTGCTGGGGGATCTCCATGAATACGTCCGTAGTCCCAAAGTGAATATGCAAGACATGGGGATCTCCCGGAATACGTCTGTAGTCCCAAAATAAATATGCAGTGCTGGGGGATCTCCATGAATACGTCCGTAGTCCCAAAGTGAATATGCAAGACATGGGGATCTCCCGGAATACGTCTGTAGTCCCAAAATAAATATGCAGTGCTGGGGGATCTCCATGAATACGTCCGTAGTCCCAAAGTGAATATGCAAGACATGGGGATCTCCCGGAATACGTCTGTAGTCCCAAAATAAATATGCAGTGCTGGGGATCTCCCGGAATACGTCCGTAGTCCCAAAGTAAATATGCAGCTCAAAATGACATGACAGTTACATCATCGAAATGTACATTTCAAACTAAACACAACCAAGGAAAATAGGAATCTACCTAAACATACTGCACAGGAATTCATATAGACAGTCAAAATACGTAGGCATGCTTTCCTAATCTGAACTAGGTAATTAAACATGGTAGTGCAGTTCAAACAGGAAAAAACAATTTAAGATTTAGAAGGAAAAAAACCCGGGATTTTTACAATAATATCCTGTGTACGTACTCGTCACCTCACGTACATGACGCTCACACATCATACAGTATCAAACATCCTAAGGGGAAGTTCCCCCCCACAAAGTTAGGCAAACCACTTACCTCGAACAAATCAATCTGAAACCGCTATATTGCCACGAGTATCCAACTCCGAATGGCCCAAATCTAACCAAATCAATTGCATAATGTAAATATAACTATAGGTAACTACTTTAGCTAATAAATTCGAAGCTAAGGAATGAAAATAGGAAAAACGCCCAAAAAGTCTCCCCGGGCCCACGACTCAGAATCGGGTAAAGGTTACCAATTTAGAACACCCATTCCCTCACGAGATCACTCGTACAAAAATTATCTAAATTCGATGCCTAAAATCCGACTCCGAAATTCCATTGGGGAACTTTCCCCCCATTTCCCCACATTTCTCACTCAATTTCCTTGATTAAATGAAGAAACTACAATAAATTAATGAAATATGATCAAAATAGGATTAGGAATTTTTACCCAATGTCTTCCTCTTCAAAACCCTCGAAAAATCGCCTTCCCCCGAGCTCAAAATCGAATTTGTGTAAAATGAGCATTAGCCCTCGATTTTGCCCTTTTCTGCCCAGCGATTTCCGCATCAGCGGACCCAGGACCGCACCTGCAAACGAACCATCATAGGTAGGGCTGCTTATCGGGCGGATCGGGCAATTATTTATGCTTAACGGTTCGTCTTATCGATTATCGGCTTTTAAATATATTAATCCGCTAGCCACCCGATAAGATATCGGGCGGATTGGTATCGGTTTAGCTATTATCAGGCGGTTTATCGGCCTATTTAATCTGTATTACATAGGCCTATTTTGGCAACACATTGATATAGTGATAGGGTGATACCACAGCTGCACAACATGATATATTAAACTTTTTCATCATACTGATAGTATCACAAGAGACAATCAATAATGGACAAACATACTTGAACCTTCACACACTGAGGAGCAAGGCATTAAGCTCCTCAAAATTAGCTAAATGTAGTCAAGCTTATGGCTCTACAGTCTGCACATTCTTTAGCTAACATAGCACTTCCTAACGTGGCAATTACATCCGTCAAAATGAGTCCGGACTTGGCTTGGCTTTCACTTTTATATAAGCATATGGTTTCTTCACCAATCATACACACAATACACACCATACACACCACAAAAATCATTCTTAAGATTCCATCAAAGAGATAAACATAACAACATCCAATATTTTATCCAATATCAGTAGGAGCAAGCTCAGGCTATGGCCGTCTGGAGGAAACGAGGAGGTGACTTAATTCTTAGACAAGAGAATAGTTGTTGTTGGTGTGTTGCCTCAACCTTCATAGAGTAGAGAGTAGAGAGTAGAGAGTGAGTGGCAACGCGAGAGGGCTGTGTTTTGAGAGCTGAGTTCACTTCTAACTAGTGACTGCTGGCAAGGGAAATTAGAAATTAGATTTTAGGGTTTCTAATAGTGGATAAATGGAAAGGATATTTAATATACATATAATATAAAAATATATAAATATAAAAATTCTTAACGGGTTAACGGTTTATCTAATAAGAAAATTGATTAATTCGCCCCCAAATCGATAAGCCATTAATAATAAAATTTCAATCTGTTCTCCATCCGTTAATCCGATAACCCGATACCAGTAAGCCATTAAGTCGCTTTTGCAGTTCGGTTTTTGGTTTCGGTTTAGTTTTGAACACCCTTAATCACAGGTGCGAAATCCACTTAACTGGGCTGGGAACGCATCTGCAAGCACTGGGCCGCACCTGCGAGCCCGCACCTGCAGTCCCTCGGCCGCTCCTACGCTTCCGCTTCTGCGGACTATTCATCGCACCTGCGACCCCAGCTGATAAGGCCCAACTCCACATTTGTGCCTGATCTTCCGCATATGCAAGTCCGCACCTGCGGCCTCCCCTCCGCAGGTGCGAAACACTAGAACCAGTAAAACTCAGCAATTTCCTAAGTCGAACTTTCAATCCGTTAAGCATTCGAAACACACCGGAGGCCCCCGCGACCTCAACCAAACATACCAACTAATCCTATAACACCATACGAACTTAGTTGAGCCTTCAAACCATATCGAACAACATCAATAACATGAATTAAGCACAGATTCAAGCCTAAGAAACTTTGAATTTTCCAAATTCTACAAACGACGCCGAAATATATCAAACCTTGTCCGAATAATTTCAAATTTCACACACAGGTCACAAATAACATTACGAACCTACATCCACTTCCGGAGTTCCATTTCGGGCTCGATATCAACCTATTGATATTGTGGATAGTTAAACATAGAATAATTGAATACGTCAAATAATTGATCGTGGACCTATTGACCTTGCGAACATCAACCTATTTAATACTTCGAATAATTGATCGTCCACTTGTTGATCTTGTGGATAATTATACATCGACATATTAAATTGATATAGTAAATAGGTTTAATAATTAATAATCAACCTATTGACCTTATGAAAAAGTAAATATCAACCTATTGAATACTTCAAATGATTGATCGTCAACCTATTGATCTTGTAGATTTAACTATAATCGATATCAAACATCCTAATAAATGTTAGAAACATCTGTATTAGATGTTTCAGACATCCTTGGGATGTTTGAAACATCTAACGCAGATGTTTCAAACATCTAACACAGATGTTTCAAACATCCCAAAGATGTTTGAAGAAATTAGATGGTAGTTGAAAGTGGAAAACAATACAAGGACATAATAACATCAACATCAAACTACCGTTAAACATCAAGCTACTTAATACTTCAAATGATTGATCGTCAACCTAATGATCTTGTGGATAATTATACGTTAATTATACAAATCTAGATATCATTTAGTTCTCCAATAACATCAACATCAAATTATCAAAACAAGTACAACAACAAAGTCATTAAGCCACAATGGAGTTGCTTGTTCCTTCAGTTCTCTTCTTGCAAGTAGTTCTTTTGTGGCCAGTCCTTTTGCATAATTTCCCGTCAAAAATGTCCCATCAACATCTATGACCTTCCTCATAAACAAAAATCCCCGAATCCAAGCTTCATAAGCTACAAAAAAGTACTGAAACTTCCCCTTGTTATCAAGCTTCCGTTCTGTCTTACTTCCTTCATTTGCCTTCCTAAGCGCGTAGCGGTACGCATCTAAAATTTCATACCCGTGCTCTGGAGTCCCCCTTGCCATAGCCTTTGCAATATGACCTCCCTTCATACATTTCCAATAACTAACATTACAACCCAAATTTAAACGAACTGTTTTTATAATTTCTTTGTTAGATGGACCTCTTCCCTCTTCAAACTTAGAATGAATGTATTCACCAATGACATCCGGTGAGCCGTGTGGATGCTTTTCTGTAAGATATTGTGACCATTATATGAGCTCATTCTTGTACCTCATAATATAAAACCTGTCAGTACTTATATATTTGATGGCTCACAACCACCACTTGCAATTGTTGTCTACACATTTGACACAGTACACAAATTTGGTACTCTTCACTGATTTGAAACGGAAAGGAGCCTTCAATGAAGCAAGCTTCAATGACACAACTTGCTCGCACTTATTTTTGAAACTTAAACCCTTATAAAACTTCGTGCCGTCTTTATAATTGTGCCTACTTTGTGTTGTCGGTTCTACCTCTTGTGAGTTACTTTCAACTCCAGGAAAGTTTGCATATTCTTCTTCTTCGGTTTCTGGTATATCAATATTCAAAGGATCCATTTTTAGAATATCGCTATTCAAAAGATATTCTTCAATATCATCCAATCCATGGCTATCATGTTGTTCCATTAGAGGTGAATTTGGAAATTCTACCAATCTTTCAATCACATATACCCTTTGAATGGGCTTATTTTCAACTTTCAAATAATAGCTCAAACAATCATAATTCTTTATTTTAAAGGGAACTACTTTATTGTGCTTTTCACCAATGCTATGCATGT